GCTCGAAAATTATTGCCTATTCGATTATTCAATCGGCCCGATAACGACAGAGTCGATTGGCTACGTAATCTCGATGCCTGCTTCCGGGAACGAATTAATTCGCGCGTACGTTTCGATTGCGCTCGTGCAATTTCGTTCGCTCGATGAAACGAAAACCGCCGATCGTAATTAATCGTCGTTCGTCGTTACAGATTCGTCAATCGTTAATTTCATTCCTGGTATTTTCGTGGGGAACGGAAATAGTTTCTTTTCATTCTCGTTACATACATCTCCCTTCGGTCAAACAAACTTCCCCCTCTATATTAAACAGAAAAATTACTCGAAATATTTTAATATTCCCATTGATTTTTCCGAGCACCGCCGCTCCTTCCAATAATTTCACGCTAGAAGAAATACCCGCCCGTGATGATTCTTTTCTATGGAAATTTCTTTCTTTGTGAAAATACGAGAAAATAAGGGAAACTCGAATCGAATCTTGTTGCACGAATATTGATATTTACAGAGGGGATGATGATGATAATAATAATATACTCGCAACTGGGTTGGATGTATATAAATCGTTTGTAAACGAATATTTTGGAAATTTTGTTGCGTTGATGCGTAACGAAATGCCATCTCGCGAATAAAATTTTGACCATATGTGTATTATATTTTAACGTGAGAATAATTTTGCGTGTAAATTGTAATGAAAATTAGGATGATTTATTAAAATAATAATCGTAGATCGCAAAACGTGCGCGTGCGAAATATTAATAAAAGATTTATTTATTTAGCTCAAAAAAGTTTTTGTATTCACAATTTTCTTTTTTAATATTTCTCGCGTTTTTGATAAAATTTAAAAAACTTGAAGTGAAATTCAATTGCAAATTTCTATCAATTATTAATATATGCACGCATGCATATTACGATAATAACATCTTATTATTTTTTACTGTATTAATTATATGATTAACTGACTTAAAAAAAATTTGATAAAACTATGCTAGAAACACTTACACTCGTTCCACTTATTGCTCGAATATTTTTTTATCTTCCTCCTCCACTTCTTCCTTCCCCCTCAGGATATTAAAATTTTAAACAAATCTCCACCTCCAAATATTCGTTTCTTCCACGTCTATGACTCCTATAACAGCTGCATCCCTTGCTAAATACCGGTGCTTAAGGGAACGTCAAAGAACGAGAAAGAACAGAAGATAAAATTACGAGGAGGAGGCAGCAGTCTGTGCCTTCACGAAAGAATAAAAAGAAGAAGTTTCATCTTCAAGCGAAAATACTTCTTCTCGGAGAAGATGAAGATCTTAAAGACCGTTCTAAAGAAGCTTCTCTCTTCACATCCGGATGGATTTTCGTCTGTCCAACCGCTGTTTCCACGGATGCTTATTGCGACCGAGCATCGCGATGTTCGAGGCATGGATGTTTCACCAGGACGTTTCAAGTGCCCTCCTCCTCCTCCTTCAGTTTTGAGGTCTCGTTTGAGGCCGACGATAGTACGCGTCGAAACACGACGAAACGTTACGAGCTCGTACAAGCGAATTTACACAGCGCTGTTACATGCATCTCGACGTTTACCAAAGTTTATTTCCGACGAAACTGCTCGCTAAAACGCGATGATGCGGTTTTAAAAGCTTGGCGGGTATGTACGGTTGATGACGTGGCGTCGAT